AATGGGGCCCTGAAAAGATTAACCTCACCTAGAAAGTAAAAATGATATGCATGAATTTTACCAGGTGGGGGAAATGCCTCGTGATCCCCACAGATACTGATTTCACACCAAGGATGCTGGAATCAAACGTCAAACTGTGGGAAAGTTTTCTTGAAAGACTGCCTGTGGGGCCGTGGGAGAAGTGTGCGATTCTATGTGCAGAAGATTAGAAGTTGATGTCAAATGCCTTGAAAAGATCCCTGAATATATAAGCCTTAAGGAGGAAGGGGGGCTTGAGGGTTCTGTTTATTTTACAGTCGAGATATATCTTCAAAGCGAACGCCTTTCAATGCCTTCGGTGCAGCTGTTGGCTTTGGGACCTGCCTTCTCTCCTAGGGCGGGGTGAGAGTGAGGTCAGCTGGGGGTTGTAGGCCAAGCTCTTGTTCTCGGGGTCCTCACACCCCCCTGCCTCATCAGCCTCGCTGGCTGGTCCTAAGCGTGGGCAGCCTTTCTGCAAGCGATGTGGGGACCACTCTAGGGAGGCGGCTGGTGGGAGGCTGGAAGAGCTCGGCATTTCCAGTGCGAAGACAGGTGTTCAAGTCACGGCTCTGCTACTGGCTAGTGACGTGATGTAGGGTGAATCAACGTCTCTAAGCCTCACTTTATTCATTGGGGAAATGGGATAATAATCCCCCCCAGGGATGTTGTAAAGCTTGAGGTCGTATATATGAGAGAGAGTGCCATGAAATGCCAGCCCCTGTGGTTAGCAGGATTTTAAGGCAAAAGTTACCTGATGTCCTTCTTCTACCTCTAGACCCTTACGTACCCCTTTCGTTTTGTTTAGTTATTTTCACTAATTCTTATTGCACTATAATACGCATAAATTTGCCATTGCGGCCATTTTTTAGTGTACAAGTCACGGGCGTTAGGTACATTCGCAATATTGTATAGCCATCGCCACTACCCATTTCCAGAACTTTTTCATCATCCCAACCTGTGGCTCTGTACCCCTTAAATAAATACTCCACATTCTCCACTCCCTTCAGCCCCTGATAACCTCTATTCTATTTTCTGCCTCTGTGAATATGCCTATTCTGGGTATTTCCTAAAAATGTGGAATCATGTGAAACGTGTCCTTTTGTGTTTGGCTTATTTCACTTAGCACGATGTTTTTAAGTTTCGTGCATACCGTCCACGTATTGAAATGTCCCTTTTAAAAGCTGAAGAATATTTCACGTAGACATTAAGCACATCTTGTTTACGTCTTCACCTGTTGGTTGTCATTTTCACCTTTGGGCCATTGAGCGTGATGTTGCCATGAGCATTCATGCACAAGTAACTGAGGTCCCGCCTTCAGTTCTTTTGGATAAGGATCTATAAGTTTAATTGCTGGATCACATGGTAGTTCTATGTCTAACTCTTTGAGGAACTGTCAGAACGTTTTCCACAGTGGCTGCACCGTTTCTCATCTCTGTCAGCAACGTACAAGGGTTCCAGGTTCTCCACATCCCCACTAGCACTTGCTTTCCTTTTTCTAAATAATAGCCATCTTAATGGGGGGAAGTGTTAACCTGATCTGTTTTTTTTTTTTAAGTTTATTTTTATTTTTGACAGAGACAGAGTGCGAGCATGAGCTGGGGAGGGGCAGAGAGAGAGGGAGACCCAGAATCCAAAGCAGGCTCCAGGCTCCGAGCTGTCAGCACAGAGCCCGACTCAGGGCTCGAACTCACGAACTGTGAGATCATGACCTGGGCCGAAGTCAGATGCTCAACCGACTGAGCCACCCAGGCGCCCCGGAACCCGATCTGTTTTGAAGGGTATCGGTTACATCTCCATGGTGTGAGAACCCCCAGAGTAACATTTGTTGGCCTACCTGGACCTCTGGCGTATCAGGGAGCATGCTTGGAATCAGAGGACCGATTTGCATGAATTTTTATCCAAAGCAGAATGGTTTTCCGGGGAGAACTTAGGAGAAGGACTTGGGGCCGTGGTCACTTGACAATTCTATTCATTGATTCTCCATGCGTTCCTTTTTTCACTCATTCATTTATTCCACGAACATTTATTGAATGTTTATTTTGGTGGCAGTGGGCAGGAATGCTGTAGCAACCACATTGGAGAACAGCGCTTGAAAGGGAGCTTAAGAATCTTCTTGACCAAACACTTACCCCATTCAGCAATGTTTCCTAAAACTGGAGAGATGGTTTAGGGCTCAGGTTTCCAGGTCAGTGATAAGGCAGGAATGAATGATATAGCCCAAACCTGGAAGAGAAACTCCTCTACCTGGTGGGAGAATGGGTTTAAAACAAGGGCAGAGATTGGTCAGGAAGCTCGCTTTTCCAACAGCTGGCTAAACAGTGCAGTCACTTGATCAGGTGGTGAGATTTGAATGCAATAAAACAAGCGTCAAGAAAACCCGATTAGATAAGCCCCAAGTACTCGCACAGTCCTTACACTATGATAACCTCCCACTAAAATGTCACATACAGGCTGTGTGTGATGGGAAACTCTGCTGACTTGGAATTGGAAAGCCAGGCAGGAGGGTGAGTACTTGATTTCAATCTGGGAAAATTCCAGAGAGCTGAATTCAGGGGATTTATGAACACCATCTTATCCACACAATTGGATTTCATCAACAAGCACAGACTCATTTTCTAGCTCAAACTGGGACATTTCAACTATATTAAAGGGCAAAGAGAGAGAAACAGTGGTCAGAAGGCAGTTCACAGAATTAGTTACCTCCTACGTGTTTATTTTGCTCTGGTGAATGTTCCAGCCTCAGGAGTCCAAAAATAAACTGGATTCACAGGCAGCCTCATTTCCTAAAAGTCACATTGTCTAGATCCTGGGTGCCCTCCAGAGCCACACAGAGAAGCAAGATTAACCTCATCTACTTCCTTCAGGGGGAGAGCAGCATTTTCTCAGATCTGGGTGGAGATCCGTAAGAAGAAGAGCTTCCCAGTCTTGGTGAACATCACCGCATAGCCAAGAAGCCAGTTGGAAAGGAGACTAAATACGATTACACTGACCTTTCCGTAACGTGGACACCAAAAACTCCAGTTTCCATTCCATCTGTATCCGTGGTGCGCTAGACCTCGTTCAATATTTTACTACCATTGTTAGGTACATGGAAGTGCTTCGCGGAAGTAATTAATGCCTTAATATAGGCAAAGTCTTCTGGCATAGGACAAGGAGGTTCAGAATTATTCTGGTGGGTGTTGCAACATCTGTAGTTGGGTCCAGCTTCTGGTGCTCATATGGCAGGGTGCCAGGATTTGGAAAGGAAGCAGAACGCTGGAGACTAACAGTAACGCGGCAGCCTCATTTCGTGAAGAGAATTTCACTGGTGCTTGAGACCCCACCGCTCCCTCTCTGCTCCTGAGGGCCTTCTCTTTGTGACTCTGGGCCCTAATGGGAAACCCTCCCTGACTCTGACCTCTTCTCTTTGTAGCCTGACTTAGCAACCTCAAGAGGGTCCCCCCATGTTCTCCGCCTGGCTTCCCACTGTAACCCCCACCGACATCGAAATATTCAACCCCAGCCCTTAGCGTCGTCCTGTCTCAGATTAACCCCACCAAACTGGCTCAGCAAGAGAGCCTCAACTCCTTCAACATATTTTAGAAAGCTCTGTAACACCACAGCATTTTAAAAGAAGGGGTGAGGCACCAGGTAAGCTTAAAATGAACTTGAACACAATCCGACCACAAAGGGTCCAGCTAACTGAGATTATAGTCCCGGAATGAATGTGGGATTCAATACCGTTACTAAAGGAGGTATGGAAAACAGAAGCTATGCAGACAACTCTCTGAAAGGGATTGTTGAGAGAATTTTAACAAGTTCTTGTTCAGTTTCCCTTTTTTAATGTTGTATTTCTTTTTGAGAGAGTGCATGCGAAGGGGAGGGGCAGAGAAAGAGGGAGGCAGAGAATCCAAAGTGAGTGAGGCTGGGTTCAAACTCGGGGCTTGAACGCGGGGCTCGAACTCACAAACTGTGAGATCCTGACCTGGGTCGAAGTCAGATGCTCAACCGACTGGGCCACCCAGGCGCCCCCAATTTTTGTTTAGTTTTATTGAGATAGAACAGACATATGACACTCTATTCGTTTTAGGTGTGCAGCACATTGATTTGATACATGCATATATGACAAAATGATTGCCATAATAAGTTGACATTCATCATCTCACATATTCAAAATTATTTTCTTGTGATGAGAGCTTTTAAGATCTACTCTCTCAGAAACTTTTCAAATACAAAATAGAGTATAATCACCATGCTGTACATTACATCCCTGGGACTTATTTAACTTTTAACTGGACATTTGTACCTTTTGGCCCCCTTCCCCCAATTCCCCCCCTCCACACACACACACACACACACACACACACTGCCCCTGCCTCTCTGAGGGAATCTCTCGGGAATGGGGGAGGAGATTGGACAAGGTGACCTTCCAACTGTGGGATCGGTTGTTGGCGATAATGATGGGTGGGAACGGTCCTAGGGACTCTCTGTCTGCCACTTTTTAGTCACATGGGACAGATGGGGACCAGATCGCTGAAACATCATGTGTGCAAACTGAGGACAGACAGCGATAATTTTGAGAAAGACCATGCATGTGTCCTAGTCTCAAGGAGCGACCATTCTGGTCTAGAGGTACGACCAACACTCAGTAAGCACAGGCATACAGGCAAGTTTGGGGCTACCCTCTTTACCGACATAGACACTTTTCTTCTTCTGTTCCCAGAATTTGGTCTGCACTATAGCAATGTACAGGCCTCTCTGGGCCTGGAAAACCAAGCCTGGTGACAGCAAATGACCAATGCACATCCTGGAAGTGTCCAGGACATTCAGAGAGGTACCTGATCCTAGTCCGTGTAGACCAGGCGCACATGAGGGAAGCCTTGCCATGCAGTGACTGAGGATTCTAACCCTTGCTTTGTGCCTGCGTAGGGCATGTTAAGGGCTAGGGGGACTTTCCTCCCTGGGTTTATGTTTCCATGAGGAGGGAGCTACTTTTAAGGTACCTTAGTTACATCCAACCCTCGGGCTTCGCAGGAAGTCAGCTGTCTGGTCGGTGTGTTAGGAGAAGAATCTCGGTCTTTGTGGCTCAGCTCTTCCTGGCTCCTTCCTGCTCCAGATCTGCCTGCAGACAGGGGGGATCCATCCTGGTGCTCCTTTGCCTGCAGAGGGGCCCATCCCCATGGGGGAGGACTGCTGAGCTCTCATCTGCTTGGGCATTTCAGGGACATCCCTTAGGCTACAGATCTACATTTGCACTGAGTAGCCATCTTATTCGTAATAAAGCCAACCTGTGGCTCTCCTGCCGTTGACTGTATCTTTCTCCCTATGGGTTTTGAGCTCAGATGGAGAAACTGGGTGTTATGTATGAGCCCTCCTGCCAGTTCCCAGCCAGCTTCAACAAAACCCCTTACCCTTCTCTTATCCTAACCGTCCTCCAACGCACACGATTTCTCCCTCCTGCTTTAGTGTTCCCAAAGTCTGTTCTCTTCCTCTCCAGGTTCCAGGCCCCTAACACATCAAGCGAGATTAGCTGGCACGAAAGGACTCTTGGCTTCCTTCCACCGAGGGGAAAGTTATCAGTGACGAGGTGGCTTGGATCATGCCCTTGCTCGGATAATGTGGGCATGCCTTCTCCACCACGTGCAGAGATGCACTGAGCCCCTGCTCTGTGAAAGACCCCAGGGCTCTCAAGAGCCACCTTCTTGTCAGGGATGTCCTCATTTCTTTCTTTTTTTTTATTTTTTAATATGAAATTTATTGTCAAATTGGTTTCCATATGACACCCAGTGCTCATCCCAACAGGTGCCCTCCTCAATGCCCATCACCCACTTTCCCCTCCCTCCCACCCCCCCCCCACCAACCCTCAGTTTGTTCTCTGTATTTAAGAGTCTCTTATGGTTTGCCTCTTTCCCTCTGTTTGTAACTATTTTTCCCCTTCCCCTCCCCCATGGTCATCTGCTAAGTTTCTCAGGATCCACATAAGAGTGAAAACATACGGTATCTGTCTTTCTCTGTCTGGCTTATTTCACTTAGCATAACACTCTCCAATTCCCTCCACGTTGCTACAAAAGGCCATATTTCATTCTTTCTCATTGCCACATAGTATTCCATTGGGTATATAAACCTCAATTTCTTTATCCATTCATCAGTTGATGGACACTTAGGCTCTTTCCATAATTTGGCTATTGTTGAAAGTGCTGCTATAAACATTGGGGTACAAGTGCCCCTATGCATCAGCACTCCTGTATCCCTTGGGTGAATTCCTAGCAGTGCTATTGCTGGGTCATAGGGTAGATCTATTTTTAACTTTTTGAGGAAACTTCACACTGTTTTCCAGAGCGGCTGCACCAGTTTGCATTCCCACCAACAGTGCAAGAGGGTGCCCATTTCTCCACAGCCTCGCCAGCATCTATAGTCTCCTGATTTGTTCATTTTAGCCTCATTTCTATTCAAGATTCCTGGGGCCATTTGCCTCAACTGCAACACCAGGAGCCCTGCACTGCCAAGCGGTATTGGCTGGTCATTTATAAAACAGCAGCGTTTTCTGGCACAAAATGAACCATCAGGAAAACAAGACTGTCTCTGAAATCAGGTCAATGTCAGGTCAGATAAGCACAGCCTGGAATTTTCAAGTATCTGCTGTAGCTGGTCCCACAATCTTGTCTCTTTGGTGCACAAGCCTGGGAACACTGATGATTTTCTGACAGTTGCCAGGACCCGGGGCTCTGTGAAAGATAGGACATGAATGTGGAGTATTTCCCCCGTGGTGGTGGCAAAGGAGAAGTCATTCCCTCATATGTGGTTCCTGCTGCCCGTGATTGCACTCAGAGCAATCAGCTGCCAGAGCCCAAGGGGGGCCCAGAAAGGGGCTCTAACTTAGCTCTCCTTGCTCTCCAGCACCGAGAATTTCTGAGGGCCTTCATCATCTATTCATTGAAGTTCGAATAGAACCTCATTTAAGGGATCCCACAGGGTTGCCAGGTGCACACATGGGAGAGGGTGATGACACCTGGAGTTGTACAGCGCACAACCAGGGAGGCATGTGCAATGGCCCTGGGGCCATCTCGGGAAGTCTGGTGGCTAACAAGCACATCCCTAGAGAGTGGCTTTGTGGGACAATTTTGCCACAGTCTGGACTTACCATTCATTTCAGAGGTTTGCCCACCTCATTTGTGAGAAGAATCGAGGTCCTCTTGGGGAAGGACCCACCTTAGCTATGCTCACAGAGGCTGCTGTGATTAAAAATATCAACTACCCCGGCTACTCAGAGTGGACAACCTGAGACAGGTATAGTGGACACTCACTCGATGAGGCTCCTAGCTCTGTGGTCGACGATCCCTCTTTCTGACCGCCCTATCTTTACAGAGGAAGAGAAAACATGTCTAAGTCCCTGCCATTGCTGAGCGCCACAGGGCTGGAGGCAGTCTCTCTTGGGTGATTTTATACTTCTTGCTTTGATTCCCTGCATATGACTTTCATGGTTTAACTTATAGAGTAGAGACCTTAATTCCAAATTATTCTGGGTAAATTTGAGAGACCCGCTTTCTCCCAACCTGCAAATACGGAGATGCTACCGAAGATTCCAAGCACCTCTGCCCCCTCCCCTGCTCACTGACTCACGAACACAGCATGTCCTGTCCCCATCGCCTGCATTTAGGGGTGTTATTCCCTCCTTCCAGCCCCTGCATTCTTGTATCCATAGATCAAGGGCCACTTCCCACAGGAAGCCTTTTCTGACCACCCCACCCCCCTTACTGATCTCTCGTCTTCCGAAACTCTATAGCACTTTGAGATAATGGAGCAAAATTTAGCCCTAAATTGGATATTGGTTAGTATTGATCTCTGTCACTTCCCATATGTTCTATTTCACCAACTAGGCTCTAAGCCGCTTAAGAGTAGAAAGTGTATTTCATATTTCTTCAGCCTCCCCACCATGTCTAGCACATGGAGAACATATGGAAGTATTAGGTGCAAAGATGCATATTAAATGGCTCTCTGCATCTCCAGATATCACCATATTTTCTAGGCACCTCAAATCCCCTTCCTCCAGGAGATCTTTCCCGACCACTGTGGCTCACGCTGATTTCTTCTGCCACTCCTGACCACCCATTATCGTCTGAGTCACGCGTTCTCACTCAGTTCTGCCTGATGTATCCTCTGGCTTAAGGTATGAGAGTCCCATCTGCACGACTGCAGTGGGGTTTGGGTGATGTTAGCTCCCAGATGAGGTGGCAGCAGTCAAGGTGTTGTATCAGGGTCTGACTCCCACAGGTCAGGCCGTAAACTTTTACTCCAGGTTGCGTGTAACAATTTGTAGCATAATAAGATCTGCGAGATTCTTCCGTTAGCAGAAATTTTGCCAATGGCTCTTTTCCCAAAGACGGCCCAGAGGCCCGCCTATGCTAAGGGAAAATAGCTCTCCGGGAGAAAATCACTCCACACCCCAAAATGCGTTGGATGTGGTTCAGCATTTTTCAGGAACTTGGCTTAGCATTTGGAATCCCGAGGCTGCCGTTTTCACCTTCAGGCTGATGGCCCACCTTGTTTGTGCAGAATAGTCCAGGTAATTCGTCAGAGGACAGCAACCTTCCTCCCTCTGGTCCTGAAATGATGCTAGGAGGCCCTTCGATCTGTCCGTCCTTTATCAGGTGCAGCCGTCACTGGGTTCTGCAAATTAAGGCTCTGTGCTCGGGGCCCCGGCCAACTTGAGACCTTTAGTACATTTAACTTCCAAAATTCTCCCTTCGGTTTCTGTCACTTATGGTATATTACTTAATTCTTATCTATACCTTTTGGGTAGTGATTGTAATGCAACTAAACAGGTGCCATAATGTACTCCTCCAAGGGGCCTGCTTTTCTGTAATGATAAAGAGATCCGCTGCGTTCTGGCTTAATCATATGAGCTTCAATTTGTGGGCTGCCTCCAGACGCAGGGAGAAGGGTATAAATATGCAGCATTGCTCATGTTCATTTTACCTTAGCTCATTCTTGCCCATTTCATTATTCGATTTCGGAAAATCAGGAGCATTTAATGGTGTCAAGGGCACAGCCGGGAAACCGCAAAGAGACTCTAATGACTTAGGAGGAAGAGGCAAGTCCAGAGGTAACAAAGGATGCTTCTAGAAGCTTCACCATAGCTCAACATAGTGTACTACAAACCCAGAAGGAAGGACTAATGAAAGAAAGCAACGCACACTTGATTAAAGCCACAGTTTGCCGAGAGTGGAAGAAAGGGCTAACGAGGGATAAAATCCACTGTTGAGTCTAAAATGCATGTACATTTGCCTATGAAATTCAGCTGTGCCCGGAAGCACGTGCCTCGGTCTCCAGAGTCACAGGGTAGCGCTTGTTGCTTTAAGAGACAGCTGCCAGCCGGTGAGACACCATTGCCCAGGACCAGTCTTGGTGGAGTCTGGGAGAGACCCACTCAGGAAGGTCTGCGGCAGGGCCCCCATCCAGACACCAGGAGGCTCTGGGGCAGATGGTTCGTAAACCGCATTTCAAGAAACTCTGGAGCAGATGACTCCAGGATTTTCCAGCTGTGTATAATATACACACAATCTCTAAACATTCAATTCTTTGTATATCTTATACATTCATCCCCTCTGTGCACACAAGCAGAGAGAGACTATGTACCATCTGTCTCTCCTCTGTGTATAAGGATTCCGTGGGTGCTTCATTTATTATAGAACAACTGAATTTTATAAGTTTCCGGTAAAGCCAAATAAATACGGTGTATAGACTTGAGTATTTTCTTTCCTCGCTTGGACGAGAAGAATTTAATTTATAAAGGACAACCAGAATCACAAACACCGCTCCGCGTCTGAGAACTCAACACGGAAGTGTCTCTGCACTCAACTTCAGGCACTGTTTCCAAAGGACTCGGGGACCTTGTCTTGACTGTCCTTGTCTTTCCTTTTAGCGTCGAACCTGCATTTTTTCCTCCAGAGTCTGATGCCCAGTGGAGGCTTCGGGGATCTAGAAGCTGTTACTCCAGAGCCTTGCCCGGCCTTGGCCAAGTGGAAAGGACATCTTCTCCTCTGTTAACTCGACATCTTCAGGAATGGCAGGTGAGTCTGAACTCATGAATTGATAGTGAGTGCTCTGTAAAGTCTGACCAAAGGAGTGGGTACAGAAGGACCCTGGGGCCCTCTGTGTGCTCCAAACGAGGAACTGTGATCTGGGTCGCTAGGGGGTAGGATGGGGTCACTTTTGTACCACCTCTTTGCCAGTCCAATCCTGAGTTTTCTCCTTCAAAAGCCTACTCTTTTAATACACAATTTTAGAACTGGACAAGAATTTAGAGGTTTCATGAATAAAGGTTAGAAGTCCAGTCTCCTGATTCCAAATTCTGTGTTCTGTGTTCTTCATAAGCATTATCCATACTGGTGCGGGTGGGACCTTTGGAGGCTGGCTGCATGGGACCCCCTGGGTCCCATTATGACAGGGGCCTACTCCTGTTCTAGCAGAGGCCTTTTCTAGCGAATCCGGCCACGCTTTGCTAACAGAAGTGATTTGAGGTTGAGTACGAGAAAAGAGCAACCCCAGACCAGGTTGTTGAGGGTTCTGAGGGGAGAGCATGCCTTGACTACCCCCATGTCCTTATTTCTGAATTTTGAAGCCTTTGGTAGCTTCTCAGTAATGCCCTGCACTTTTCAGATTCCCCGTCCCCCTTTCCTTTTATTTTCCCCACAGCTTTGCAGAAGTATATTTGGCAAATAGAATTGTATATATTGGAATTGTATATATGTTCGAATGTGATGATTTTGAAATACCTCCACATTATGAAATGATCACCAACCAACATATACACTACCTCACATAGTTACTTTGTGTGTGTGTGTGTGTGTGTGTGTGTGTGTGTTATGATCACTTAAGATTTTCTCTCTTAGCGAATTTAAAGTATATAACACAGTATTAGAAACTACAGTCACTGTGCCATCGATTGGGTCCTCAGCAGCTCTTCATCTTGTAACTGGAAGTTTGTAGCCTTTGACCAGCGTCTCCCCATTTCGCCCTGTTCACGCAACCACTATTCTGCGCTCTGGTTCTAGGAGTTTGACTTCGTTATCAGAGTCAAATAATTATTTATTCGCTATATAACAACAATACTTATTATTATCATATATATAATAAATATATAATAGAGTTATCTGCATATTATATATTTATACCCTAAATATGTAATACAATTAATTCTATAATTAAATAATTACTATTTTTTAGATTCTACATGTAACTGATACCATGCCATCAGACATGTCTTTCTCTGTCTGGCTTACTTCACTTAGCCCTCTAGTTTCATCTGTGTTGTCACAAATGGTAGGATTTGCTTCTTTTTTAAGGCTGAATTTTAGAACCACATTTTCTCGATCCATTCATCCATAGCTAGATACTTGCGTTGCTTCTGTACCTTTGCTAGTGTGAATTATGCTGCGACGAACCTGAGACTGTAGATCTATCTTCAGAATAGTGATTTCATTTTGTTTGGGCAAATGCCTGGAGGTGGGATTGCTGGATCACATGCAAGTTTTATTTTTAGTTTTTCGAGGAACCTCCATACTGTTTTCCATAGTAGCTGCACCAATTTACATTCTCATTTAAGTCTTTAATCCATCTGAAGTTCATTTTTGTGCATGAGGTAAATGGCATTCCAAGCCTTTGGTAGCTTATCAGAGACGCCCTGCTCTAGTTGGATTCTTCCGTGTCCTAACTCAATGTATAGATTTGTCAAATCTGCCAATTCTAAGGCTATATGTGCTCATGAACCAACATATAACAGCCCTTACCCCCTGTGAGAGGTATGCTTCTTCTTCCGGTTGGGAGCAATTGTCCCTAGAGCTCTTGCTGTATACCATTATGATTCATTGATTTTACTTTGGTGGTGGGGATAGGAAGTAGGGGGAGAAGAGGGAGATTGAATAAAATGGGAGTAAATACATTCATCACCAATGTTCAACTTCCTTGCTTTCAGACAGGCTGATTCAGTGGTCAGAATCTAGGTGATAAGAGTGGGGAGTAGCATGAAAGAAAAGGGAAGGGCAACTCATTATCAGTGGATGAAGTTGAGAGAACCAATGAATTATTGGGTAGTAATTCTGTTCTCATAGCATTTCTGTTGCATTGTTTCATTATAAAGAAGAATCAATAAAAAGATGACACTCAAGGTTTTTAATTTAGTGAATCTCATCTAGGACCAAATACACCTGACAGTAGCCTGACTTCTTAAAATGCAAACACTGTGCTCAGATTTATTAATTTTTATGGTATGAATATTTAAATAAGCCTATCCCAATGGAATCATTCTACACAGAGCTAATGCACTTACATTTTTAATGAAATGAGTAGTCAACCATTAAAAATAAAATATTGATATGAATTATTAGACTAATTGATTGGGGAAGAAGTTATTGTGCAAGCAATCGGAGATTTAAGAAAAATGAATAGAAATCAAACGACCCAATTATTGTCAGCCCTTGGCCTTAAGGAAGTCTATTCAATATATCTCTTTTCGTTATGAACAATCGCTTTTTAAAATGTCTAAAGAAAATTATCACTGTAAATCAAGCCTCAGGTAGGAAATGAGTCAAAAAGTAATATGATCTTCACAGCAGTACTTAACTGCTTAGGTCCTGCTATAAAATATGGGGGTGGGGAATTGAAGTAATTTTCTGTTATTCAGGCTCCAGACCTGCTTTTTCCCGGACTCCACATAAATACAGCAACTGAAACTAAAAATAAGTCTGCCTTGGATTTGAAGTCATCTGTGTGCTTATCAAGATGTGAACAAATGTAATTTTTATTTAGAAAAATTTTTCATGCTTCTTTCTTTCTTTATTTATTTGGGGAGAGAGAGAGAGAGCGTGCACACACACCTATGCAAGCAAGGGAGACAGAGGGAGAGAGGGAGAGAAAGAATCCCAACAGGCTCCATGCGGTCAGTACAGAGCCTGACGTGGGGCTCGATCCCACAAACCTTGATATCACAAGCTGAGCCAAGATCGAAAGTAGGAAGCTCAGCCGAGAGCTCAGCTCAGTGCCCCACATGTGTAATTTTCAAAGTCACTTTAAAGAGAGTTTAAAAATCTCCCAGAATTTTTTTAAGTAGAAGAATTACTGTTTAAAGCAAACTCTGCCGGTCTTTCTTCTAAGTATGATTTCTGTGTTGGATTGCCTTAATGTGAGGCATACTTTTCTTTCAGTCAAAGGTTTAGGCTTGACTAATGAAGACGGCTCAGTTCTCAAATTCTTTCTAGCAGCTGCATCTCTAAATGAAGAGCCCGGATTTCACCGCCACCGCACATTTTTTTTTGCTGACCAATGAATTCCTAACTTATGTTCGGTTAGGAGTCAGTTGATAAACAGAAAAGGCAGCAGAAAGAGCTATAACCCATTCATGAAAAGACTGAGTTCAGATTTCCTGCTGAATACCTCTCCCGGGGAAGCTCAGTGAGGAACGTGAGCATCGATTTCACAAAACAGGAGGACCTTCAGTGTATCAGTGGCACGATAGGTGCCAGAAGCTCAAAGAACAATAGCAAAAGATGGAGAAAGTGAGCTGTTGGCATTTTGCGGATGGGAACAGAGATCTTGGAGAAATGAGAAAACTAGGATATCAGAGGGAAAATGGAGTGATGCCCTGGGGGAGTGGGGGATGCAGCACAGGGGTGAGGGGATGTGGTGAGGGAAGCAAAAAAGGTGGACCGAGTGAAGAAGAAACAGTGGAGACCTTGGCGATTAGTGTCATTTAGTGCACTGCTTCTCATGAATACAACTCTCCTGCAGGTCTTGTTAAAATGCAGATTTCGCGGGAGTAGTTCTGGGCCAGGCCTCCATTTGCTTTTCTACCAAGTTTCCAGAAGATGCTGATGCTGCTGGTCCAGATCACACTTGAGTAATGAGATTAGAGGATCCCAGTTTCATCTGTTGGAACATGAAGGATGTCTGTCCTCACGAATGATTTATTTATTAAGTGCCTGCTGTGTGCCCCGCAATCTGCTAGGGACCCCGAAGCGCTGAAAAGAAGATGAGAACCCCCTTGTGCGGGAACCTAGAATCTTACAGAGGAGATAAGACATGCAAGCGTAAAGCCACTCGTGTGAAACAGAGGAGACTGTGTTCGAAAGCCTACCTGTGACCGGAAGGCATCCCGAGGAGAGACACCCATCTGGGCACGGTGGTGCTCCGGCAGAAATGAGGGGTGATAAGCTTACACTGAAATAAACACAGATCAGAAGGGTTGGAATGCAGGTGCAAAGAACCACAGAGACCCCTGTGGGGCCTTAACCCACCCCAACTCCTTAATACTAACACTTAACAGAGTGAGCATCTCTGGGGTTGAAAAGGCTAATTGCTGTGGCTACATCTGAGCTCAGCTGAAAAGGCAGGTGTCTCCTAGAGTCTCCAGCGCACCCAGCAAATTACCGGTCACGGTAATGGCCATGCAGTAAGTGATTGACTCATTGTCAGAGCCCTTAGTGAACCACAGAGCAGCTACCGTGGCTGTTCTAACGTGCCCTACTGTAGACATCGGGGCTCCAGAGATGAAAAACAAAAATAGATTCCCATTGTAACAGTGGAAGAAAAATATAAATAATGATTGTGGCGTGGCAGTGTGTTTAAGGCATTTTCTTCTTAATTGCTTTTGCTATTGAATGAGACAACAAAAAAAATGGAAATAACGTTTTCCTTCTAGCTGTCTTCTTAGAAGAGCAACCACGCCTTTGTGTTCAGTTTCAGACTCTGGATTTCTGAGGGCTTGCAGAAGCGAACCTTGTGCACTTTTTAGAAGATCCGACCCACCCGGGGTTAGGCTGGAGTTGCCAGAGGAGGAGTACCTCTTCTGCACACATGTCCTGGAGCTAAATCACAGCGGTCACACCATGTAACATGGTGATATCACATGGGCATGTTGATAACTCAGCCAAGGCCAGGAGCAATGAATATGTCTGGGCAGGGGAAGAAGCCTTCATCCAGGAAGGGCCATCATTTGGGCTAAGCCTCCAAGGATGAGGAGGAAGTTGCAGGTGGCACAGGGCTAAGGTGTTCTGGAAGAAGGCGGTGGCTTCTG